AAAAATTGTATTGATCCATACATTTTTCAATAAATTATAGCATTATATGGTTAAAAATATAAAATATGACATTCAGAATTTTCATACAAAAATATCATTTGGTAGCCATTTTCACAGTGAAGACAATCAAAATTCTGAAATTTTTTTTTTTCATTATAAAGTATATTACATTAGCTTCAATTTATGATATATATAAAAGTGTCAGACTTTCCGGAACACTTTCAAAAGTTAAGTTGAACAAGTTCTACTTTCTACATGCATTTTTTAGATTTGCAAATCCCTCGTATATAGGGAAATGGTCCGATTTAAAAAAACAATATGTCAAATGAAAGATGTATATAAATACTACTCCTCATGAAAAAATTGTACTGATCCATACATTTTTCAAAAAGTTATACATAATTAAGTTAAAAATACAAAATACAAAATCGAAAATTTTCACACAAAAATAGCATACGGTAGCCATTTTCACCGTGAAGATTAAATAAAGTCCGAAATTTTTTTTTTTCATAATAAAGTACATTACATTATCTTTAATTTAAGATATATATAAAAGAGTCAGACCTTCCGGAACATTTTCAAAAGTTAAGTTGAAAAAGTTAATTTTTTGTAAAAAAGTTGTCATTTTAAATCCCCTCCTGTGGAGAGTTAAAGGGTCAGATATAAAAAAAAATTTACTAAATGAAAGGTAATGATATCATGCATCTATATAAAAAAAAAATTATATTGATATGTTCATTTTTGAAAAAGTTATAGCAGTTTTTAGTAAAAAAATTGAAAAAATTTTGAAAATTAGTGATTTTTAAATTTGTAATTTTTTTGGAGGTTTCCCCCATTTACGGGGAACGAGGGAAAATTTTTTAATTTTTGAGGGTAATGTCTTCGACTGGATACGATTTGTGATCTTTTGACGTATCATTGAAAGAAATCGGTTCGGTAAGAGCTGAGAAAAAGTGTTAACAGAAAAAAAAAAAATAAACACATTTTAGTAAAACCAATACCTTCACAGCTTCGCATCGAAGCTATCATAATTTTTTACAATTAACAATATAATATGATTTTGAAAATTTACAATAAAACTTTATGTGAAAATAAATATATTTCAATAAATGAGATTTTTAGTTAATACGCATAAATACAAATACAAAGAATATTCAATATAAATAATTTGTTCCTTATATATATACAAGTTCCTTATTTGTACATAATTACATTTTTAAATAATGCTATTCAATATGAATCATTATGAAAACATGATTAAGTTACTAGAACATTCATTGCTACTATATGCTTACTACTGGATATTACACTAGTAAAGTATTATATTGTCTGTTTATAATGTTACAGTTTTACTAATTTAACATATTATATTAATATGCGTAAGAAGAACGCGGGTAATAGTGTTTTTATTCTAGTCATTTGTCAGTCGCAATTTTCCTCTAGTTGATTGGCTATCAAATGATTTTGACATTCAGGAGATTAAAAAGTCGATTTTAAATGTCATCATGATAACTGTTCCACAGACCCCAGAGCTTTTTTAATGATTTATTCTACTCGTTTATCAAAACTTGAGTAAAGACTATTAAATATGTATAAATGTTTTTATTTTTTTTAAATAATACCTAATCAAATTTTTTTACGTATAAATGATAACCAAGATATAAAATTTAATTTTCTATATTTGTCGATTTAATTATTTTTTCAATTTAATTCTGCTCAATAACTTTTAAACTGATTTATAAGGTTATATCATTACATTAAAAAGAATTAATCTTAATAAAAACCAAAAATTTGAATATATGGCACTATAAATTACATTTTAAATTTATGAATTATATTTATCAGCGTGATTCCATCATAATTATTTTAATCTGTTATGGTTATTATTTAATTTAAATTATTAAGTATTTTACAGTTTTATTGGTTTACTTTTGAATCGCATTACCTTTTAAAAGTCAAAACACGTATATAAATTATATGAAAATTAAACACATATTTTAAAACTGAATATATTAAAATTACAAATTAATAGCTATAATATAAAATTGTTTAATATTAGAAAATGATTAACAGAGCTAAAACATACGTGTTTATTCCAGGAATTAATAGAATAATACATGAAATCTGATTAAATCATTTTTTTTAGCATTATTATTTTTTGTGCCATATATTTATTTTAAAATGTATTTAATTTTTGAACTATAGATAATTTCTATAATATCATTGTATTAAAATCAAGGTATTACATTTTTTCACTTTTAACAGCAAGTATTTCAGTATCAAGTTATGATAGAATCATAAAACTTATAGTTTTTAAATTCTTATAAAATGTATTATCAATTATATACACTTACATTATAAGTTAAAGGAAATAAAACCCAGCACAGGGGGGTCGCAGCACAGTGGTGACGTGACATAGATGGATAAAGTATAATGATATCTGACAGTGATTAAAATCACTATAAAAAAAAACGCTTCGATGCAAATCTTTAGATAGTGTTTAATTTTAAAAAATTGATGGATTATTCCAAAAGCTACATGATCTGCTAGTTCATTATTAGTATCTTAATTAAGATAAAGTATGTCGAATGAAAAAGGGATTATTAAAAATATTATTTCTCATAAAAAAATAACGTTGATCCAAACACTTTTCAATATGTCATAGCATTATAAAGTTAAAAATGTAAAAAATAAAATGGAGACTTTTCACACAATAATAGCATTCGGTAGCCATTTTCACCGTGAAGATAAAATAAAGTCCGAAATGTTTTTTTACCATAATAAAGTATATTACATTAACTTTAATTTAAGATATATATAAAAGTGTCATACTTTCCGGAACACTTTCAAAAGTTAAGTTGAACAAGTTCTACTTTCTACATGCATTTTTTAGTTTTGCACACACCTCGTATATAGGGAAATGGTCTGATTTAAAAAAACAATATGTCAAATGAAAGATGTATATAAATACTACTCCTCATGAAAAAATTGTACTGATCCATACATTTTTCAAAAAGTTATAGCATAATAAAGTTAAAAATGTAAAATACAAAATCGAAAATTTTCACACAAAAATAGCATTCGGTAGCCATTTTCACCGTGAAGATAAAATAAAGTCCGAAATTTTTTTTTTGCATAATAAAGTATATTACATTAGCTTTAATTTAAGATATATATAAAAGTGTCAGACTTTCCGGAACACTTTCAAAATTTAAGTTGAAAAAGTTCTACTTTCTACATGCATTTTTTAGATTTGAACCCCCCTCGTATATAGGGAAATGGTCGGATTTAAAAAAACAGTATGTCAAATGAAAGATGTATATAAATACTACTCCTCATGAAAAAATTGTACTGATCCATACATTTTTCAAAAAGTTATAGCATAATAAAGTTAAAAATGTAAAATACAAAATCGAAAATTTTCACACAAAAATAGCATTCGGTAGCCATTTTCACCGTGAAGATAAAATAAAGTCCGAAATTTTTTTTTTTTTTGCAGAATAAAGAACATTACATTAGATTTAATTTAAGATACATATAAAAGTGTCAGACCTTCCGGAACATTTTCAAAAATCAAGTTGAAAAAATTAATTTTTTGTGAAAAAGTTGTCATTTTGAATCCCCCACTGTGGGCAAGTGAAGGGTCACTATAAAAAAAAAATATACCAAATGAAAGGTAATGATATCATGCATCTATATAAAAAAAATTATATTGATTCAGTTATTTTTTAAATAGTTATAGCAATTTTAAGTAAAAAAAATTGAAAAAATTTCGAAAATTAGCGATTTTTAAATTTGTAATTTTTTTGAGGTTTCCTCCATTTACGGGGAACGAGGGAATTTTAAAACCAATACCTTTTCAGCTTTGCATCGAAGCTAAAAGTTACAAGGAAAATGAAACACTTTTTTTTTTAACGGAATTCTTTTTTAAAACAAAACTATTATAAATAAATTGTAATTAAAATGATTAAATAATCAGAAAAATTTAAATATTAACTAATTAACTAATATGCTTGCCAATTTTACATTATAAATAATGAAAAAAGTTAATACTTAAACTTTTTTTCAATATTTAATGTATTTTTAATATGGAATCGTTCCAAAAAATATTTTTGACAAAGGTTATTTAAAACAATTATAATTATTACTTGTAAAGCTATCCTAAAACATAAATTATATGAATAATGATATGAAATCTAAATTTAATTTACTAAACGAATTTAATGTAAATTCTTAAATAAATACATGTGCGTTTGCGTCAATGCATAAATTGTGTTATTTATTATTTACACGCATCTAGAGGAGACAAGGGCATGTAGACATCCTTAAGTTCCAATTAAATCGCTTAAAGAAAATATTCATCATAAAACTTTGTTAGAAAAATTTCTTGATATATTTAGACCAATAGCCGAATTCTTATTATTTAAAACTGATTATTAATTAATTTAAAAAAGTGAATTACTAATATTATTATTTAACTGGAATGTTACAATTCTATTGCTTAATTTAAGAATTGCTAAAAAATAACTAAATATGTATTCCCTTATTTAAAAGAAGTAACTTCCTGCCAAACTTAATAAAAAATTAAATATATTATAAAAAATTGTTGTTGTTTCCATAAAAAATTCTATTTCAAACATTTTTAATAAAAGTTTACAAATATTACTGTTTTTTTTTTTAATCGAAAAAGATCATTTTGTTTTAAATTGCGCCGCACTTTATATATTCATCAATGTCGAACCGATATAACTCATATAATATGTATACATATTTTTATATGACAATTTTATTTTAAATATAATGATCATATGCTTTTTTCAATTAACCATTTCATTAAAAAATATTCGTAATTTTGCATATATAAATAATTAATAAATTATATTTTAAATTACAATTGTTCATATATTATTAAAGTACATAATAAAAGTTTATTTTTGATCATGTTTTTAAAATACACTTGTGACTGCTACTTATAAATAGTCTTATCACAGTTATTTTAATAATTCAACATTTTTTAGTTAGTATATAGTTTATTTCAAAACTGTTTAATTTTAATTGATAAAATATTGTGAATTTTAAAAATTGTTAAATATTCTCTTAAAATAATAATATGTTACTCAATAAATGGAAATTAATAATTTGTTTTATTCAAGCAATCAACCAATCAATATGTGTTGATCTAAATAACATTACAGCTGAGGACATAGACACTCTTGTAAAGGAATACAAAGATATGAAAAGTGTCAAGCTTTTAAAACATCCTTATTATATAAAATCACGCAATGAGGATAACTTTTGTCCTGTACCTTGGAGTCATGCAGTACATTGTGAAGAAGTTCCTTATGAAGGCATAGAAATAGTAAACAAAAAATTGACAGATGTGGTTCAAAGATGTAGGCGCAAAAGAAAATTTAAATTGGGGTATACGATTTATTTGAACGCTATTGAAAGTATAGCCTTTACATATATGTATCGGTTCTGCGAGTTTGCTATAGAAATGAATCAAAGATGTGTTGAAATATCATTTTACTTAAAAGTATTTAGTGATACACTTCATAAAATTATATCGATAATTAATAGAGAATGGATTTCTCCTAAACCTCATGAATGTATTTTAGATGTTTACGAAAATCACAAATCTGAGGAAAACAAATTTAACGAAGAAAACGAAAATTACAGAAATGATTTATTACGCTGTATGAATTTAATGAAAGATAAAGTGCACTTTTTAAGAGAACCTAAAGATGAAACAATAAATACAATGACCATAAGCCAATTAGAACACTACAATAATATGAGTTATAACTATATAACTTATCACTTGACTTTAGATAAATATTCTTCTCCTTTGAAACATATAACTGGAGACAAAAGTAAGAAGGAAGTTTTTTTTATAACATTTTATTACATTATTTATGAAGAAAAAATAATAATTTTTATAATTTATGAAATATTTTTAAGTAAAATTTGTCAATCAATTTCAAGATAATGGAATTAATGGGAAATTTATAAAAAATTTATTTAAAAAAACTTAAATTATTCTATTAATATATATTTGGTAGATAACTATACATGTTTAAGAAACAACTATTCTGAGTTAAGATATTTAAGAATCGTTTTTTTTTTCTGTAGATCAAACCTCATGTATTATATGTGAGACAGAACACAGTGGTACGATTTGGCATATTTACTTTTTTTCACCGTGTGGACATGGCTGGTGCTGTGACGAGTGTTTTGGCGATATTGAAGCTTGTCCTATATGTAATGAATTGATTACAAGTACTCCAAAACTAGATATACGAACATCTGTGTCAATAGTTACTGAAAGTATGTATATTATAATTACTTATTGAAACATTAATGAAATAAAATATAAGAAGCGTTTTTTTGTATTGGCTTTTATGTTTGGTAAATTAGCTTGAGTGGTTTAAAAACCATTTTTTTTTTTTTGCTTACTACATAGTCTATCTAACGTTAAAGTTATATACTTTCAATGATAATAATTAGCATATTGGGGGTGATAAAAAGCCCCTTTGCCTCCCACTTGGATACACCACTAAAATTATATATTCATTCAAAAATTATATGATTCTCTAATTTAGAAATTTTACTGAATTCTTTACTTAGTAACCTGTTTAGGAAATTTTTATGGATATATTTTTAAATATTACCAATAAAAAAGTTTTTGATAATAATTGAAATGAAATCATATGGCTATTTGAAATAGTAGTTTTAACATTTTTGCAAGAACGATGTATAATTGTTGTTACGGTTTTTTTAATTTAGCAGAACTAAATTTATACTAAAAAATATATAAACATATCAAATTTTTCGTTTTTTCAATAGCTAAATAAATAGATTACGAATAAAAATTAATTGAAATGTTAAGTCGTATTCAAATTATGAGAGTACGTGGTTGAATTTTGTTAATAAAGTTGATATATAGAAAGCTGTTTTTTTTCGTTCAATGTATATGAAATGTGTCAGTCTCGATGATATGACATATCTAATAACTTTTTTACAATAACTATTTTATTAAACAATTTATTATTTTAAGAAATATTGCCTTCTTGTTTTCATGTTCAAAACATATATGAAACTATTTATTCCTAAAATTATCATGTAACTATCAACATTTTTTGTAAGAAAAGAGTTTAAAAGTAGTCTATTTATTGTGGCCGGATATCAAAATATACATTTTGTTAACAAACCTTAAGGAGTCATGAAGTCCATTCCTTCCCCTTCTGTATAATTTTCCATTCTAATATATTTTAAATTTTCAATAGACCAATTAGAAATGTCATTCAAAATTTCATTATTAAAAAAATTTTATTTATTATATTTTTATAATAATTATTTTTATTTTATTTTCTTATTATAAAAAACCTACATTAGGGAAAAAAAATTAATTGTTTTTTATATAATGTGATGTGATGTAATTTTTTTGTGAAAAATAAATAAAAAAAGTTATACATTTATTCTATTTTAAATAGATACGTGTTATAAAAATAAATTTGTTATAAAATAAATATAGATCAGTTGTAGCTAATTAATTAAGTAAAATTAAAACTATATTAAAATAAAAAACTGAAAAATATTAAACTCTAAAGCCACAAAAAATTACTGAAACGTCGCAGATACGTATTTCGGAAACAATATTATCATTATCAACGCTAAACACAGACTGGCAGTTTTTAAATTCATAATATTTTTTATAATGTTTTAATTTTACTTAACGTGTTAAGTATACTTTAAATATTATAGTTATCAAAACACAGAAAAGTAATTTTTTAAAACTTATTTTTCATAATATGATTATTGATGTGAAAAAAACATTCCCTTTAAAGTTTAATCATAATTTTATATTACTTAATATCCTTCATAATCTTTTAAACTTTCGTAATAAAAAACGAACTAATTTTTAAATTTTTCATTTAGAATATAAGTGGTTACCGCCAAGATGTATCCTAGATGGACGAGAAGCGCGTTGTGTAAAGTGTCGCAGTCAAATAAATCATTCAAACAGACACATAATGATACCATGTAGTCATGGTTGGTATTGTGAAAATTGCATTGAGGACGAAAAGTGTTCAATATGTTCCAAGAAAAAAACAGATAAATTGCGTATAATATTAAAAAACAATGAATTGCATTCAAATTAATCCGTGTTCATTATGGCGCATTGGTACTACAGATACATTGTGTGTAAATTTGTAAAACAATGAATAAATCTATTAATGTTATATCTTTAATTAATATTACTTTGGTTCATTTAAAACTCTTTTATTCCTTAAATATTTAACAAGTTCCTTATTTGTACCAAATTACATTTTTAAATATTGCTATTCAAAATTAATCATTATGAAAACTTGATTAAATTACTGGGACATTCATTGCTTCTATATGCTTGCTACTGAATATTACACTAGCAATGCATTATATTGTCTGTTTATAATGTTACAGTTTTACTAATTTAACATTTTATATTAATATACATAAGTTATTTGCGGGTAATAGTGTTTTTATTTCTAGTCATTTGTCGGTCGCACTTTTCTTCTCATCGATCGGCTATGAAGTGATTTTGCCAAGGAGGAGATGAAAAACCTTATTTTAAACTTCATCATGAGAACTGTGCCCCTTAATTGAAACCAAATATTTGGTATTACAGAACTACAAAAATACTTTTATATAATTGAATTTTATTTATCAGCGTGATTCTGTCATAACTATTTTAATATGTTTTAGTTATCTTTTATTAAATTATTATTTACTTAACAGTTTTACTTTTTCCCTTTTGATGGTTTTAACTTTTAAAAGTCAAAACACATACATAAATTATATGAAAATTTAGTATATATTTTTAAACTGAACAAATAAAATTACAATTTAATAGCTAAAATACAAAATTGTTATTTAAAAAAACGATTAGCAGAGCTAAAACATACTTTTTTTTATATTTTACTGATGATTAATACCTATATTAGTATTTTTAATGTTTAATATTACTTATAAAATTTCCGCAATGAAATATTACCAGATTTATATTGTTTCATTAGATATTAATGTACCATATTAAATTAAATTGAGGTAAAAAAATATTTTAAAGCACGTTTTACACAAATTGCACTAAATTCATTGATTATTTTAGAAGATATATTTCAATTTTAGTATAATTATGTGTATTGAAATGTACAAATGATTTTTGGTTTGATAGAACTGAGTAATTAAGTTTTATTTCATTTTAAATAAGTTGGCAAATATTTTTAGATTCTATTGTTTTGTTTATATGAACCAATAAATGAATATATTAGTCTTTGTCTAGTTAGGGTCCTTTGAGCTGACCTTACGGATAATTGACTCAATTGTTGTATTGATTACTATGAAAATTAATAAAACATTCAATTATTCTCGAATTTATTTTACTTTTTTTTTCCTGTAAAATACTTTGATAAATTAATTAAAAAACTATTGATAAAAAAACCCATCACAGGGGGGTCACAGCACAGTGGTTGCGTGACATAGATGGATCAAGTATAATGATATCTGACAGTGATTAAAATCACTATAAAAAAAAAACGCTTCGATGGAAATCTTTAGATAGTGTTTAATTTTAAAAAATTGGTGGATTATTCCAAAAGCTTNATTTTAAAAATTTGGTAAATTATTCGAAAAGCTACATGATTCTTATTAATATCCTGATAAGATAAAGTATATCGAATGAAAAAGGAATTATTAAAAAATATTATTTCTCATAAAAAAATTATGTTGATCCATACACTTTTCAAAAAGTTATACATAATAAAGTTAAAAATGTAAAATTCAAAATCGAAAACTTTCACACAAAAATAGCATTAGGTAGCCATTTTCACCATTTTATAAAATTATATTACATTAGCTTTAATTTAAGATATATTTAAGTGTCAGACTTTCCAGAACATTTTCAAAAGTCAAGTTGAAAAAATTAATTTTTTGTGAAAAAGTTTTTATTTAAAATCCCCTCCTGTAAGCAGGTCTAGGGTCAGATTTATAAAAAAAATATACCAAATAAAAGGTAATGATGTCATGCATCTATATAAAAAAAATTATATTGATTTGGTTATTTTTAAAAAAGTTATAGCAATTTTAAGTAAAACTATTGAAAAAATTGAAAAAATTAGCGATTTCTAAATTTGTAATTTTTTTTTGTGGTTTCCCCCATTTACGGGGAACGAGGGAATTTTTTTCAATTTTTGAGGGTAATGTCTTCGACTAGATACGATTTGTGATCTTTTGACGNAACGTCTTCGACTAGATACGATTTTTGATCTTTTGACGTATCATTGAAAAAAATCGGTTCCGTGAGAGCTGAGAAAAAGTGGTAACAGACACAAAAAAAAAACACATCTTAGTAAAACCAATACCTTCTCAGCTTCGCATCGAAGCTAAAATACATACATGTATTTTTTTTGCAAGTGAAGTGTTGTATAAGTCAAATTGCTTGGCATATACGTATAAAATTAAAAAAATTTCTCTCGTTGTCCTTAAATGGGGGAAACCTCCAAAAAAATTACAAATTTAAAAAATCGCTAATTTTTGACATTTTTGACATTTTTTTTTACTTAAAACTGCTATAACTTTTTCAAAAATGTACAAATTAATATAATTTTTTTTTATAGATACTTGGTGTCTTTACCTATTACTAACTTTTTCAACTTTCGTTTTGAAAGTGTTCCAGAAAGTCTGTCACTTTTATATATACCTTAAATTAAAGCTTATGTAACATACTTTATTTTGAAAAAAAAATTTGACCTCTGGACTTGTTTTCGTGGTGAGAACGAACATCAAAGTTAAAAAAAACGTACGATTTCCGTGAAAAAATTCTCGGTTTTATATTTTATATTATTAAATTTATATTGCTATAACTTTTGGAAAAATGTATGGATGAATATTATTATTTTTTTATAATAAATTTTTATATATCCCTTTCATCTGACACACTATTTAATAAATCGGATCATACCCCTTTATACAAGGGGGTCAAAACTTTAAACATGCGCATTGAAACTAGGACATTTTCAAATTAATTTTTGAAAGTGTTTCCGAAATATTGACACTTCTATATATATCTTAAATTAAAGCTTATGTAATGTACTATAGTTTGAAAAAAAAAAATTTGACCACTGGATTTGTCTTCTTGGTAAAAATGACTACCGTATTCAAAAATAATTCTGTTAGAATTCTGGGTTTTGTATTTCAGTTTATTTTGGGGGTATGCGTACCTGCATATATTGAGGGAAACAACTTTAGCGTTCGCACACGACTAATGTATTATAACTACTTTACTATTTAAAAATTTGCATATTTAATAATAATGTAGAATTAAAAATATAAAATTATTTTCCTGTTTTATTTCATTTTAGTAGGGTGTGTGATCGTTCTGTCGCCCAAGCCACGAGCCGCCACTGATCAATACTTGTCCCAACTATGCCAGGACCCCACTGTGTTACTGTTATTTTTTATTTGATTCATGGTAATAATAATCAGAATGATGTTTTATAGTTGTAACTGATAAGTAAGTGACACACGATGTTAAACAAAATTATATCTAATAAATATTAAAGGAAATTATCCATTTAAGGAGCCGATTGGACATCTCTCCCCTACAAAGGTACTGCCGTTGACGACAACTTTTTCAACTCAATTGCATGTGTATAGTTCATAAGTTTTACCATCTAACAAATGTTAATCTGCTCGTGATTTGTTATGACGTTACGTGACTTGAGGATGTCGAATTTGACTACTTCACATATTAAATATTTATACTTAATTTTTTCTTATTTTTTTAACGGAATATTTATTAAACACGTGTGCGGTTCAAATTACAAGACAATGTAAACCTATATTATATGATTAAAGTTCATATATTATTATTGTGAATTTAGTATTATTAATATTATTATAAAAAAACATTTTTGCGATTATTTCTGTAATACACTATTTATTTCCGTATTTTTTTAAACGTTAATTTTAAAAACTTTTATATCACCACAATCAAGAAGATTAGTTAGAGAAAACTGCCAGTCATCACTTCTATTAATAGTTTTTTATGAAGTTTCCTTTACATTTTTTTTATTTATTTATTACGTGATTAGTTAGATAATTAGAAATAATTCCAGTTATTGCTATTTTAGTGTACTCTTTGGAATTTTTGACAACCTCAATATTTCTTTCCGTTTTACCAAACCAAAGATTTCTAATATAAGTGTCCCATTGACTATTAATTTAGTACCGATCATTTTATATTAGTCAATTCGATTTGGATTTTTAACAGTAATTTCACAATTATTATAAATAATAATGTAATAATTACTCGCGATAATTTAATAACACAAAATCAACTAATACAGAATGGTCCACCATATTTATATTTACTAATAGTAAGAATAACAAGGGATTTCAATGATAGATTTCTAACCATAAAAAAAAAGAGAAATAAGTTTACCATATATATAATTAGTATGTTTTTAAATAATACAATTTTCAAATGCATAAATTCATATTTAAATTTAATCGGTCTCCCTCCACGAAGACCTCAAAATAGCAACAGTCAAAAATACTGCACACATATACTACAAAAGACTACATTCCAAAATGCAATCCCATCCAAACCGTCTCGTTACTCAGCTACACTTAACAATTTTTCCGGGCAATCCAATCAGGCGCCTCAGATGCAACTGGTCAAGAGATCTTCTCAATATTATTTAACCCACTTAAGATTAATAATGTACAGTTGGCTCTAATCTGAGCTTCCTCCTCGCCGTCATATCATTGTCTGTTTTATCCCTATTCACATATTTATTAAGTGTACATATATACGTTTATTTTCTAATAAACGTTCTTAAAAAAAAAAAAAAATTTAATCGGACGTCCGCCAAATACAAATGTAATGACATTGAACTATAAAATAATTTTACATACAATAAGACGATATACTCCAACCAAGTCAATCCACAGATTCGACGATTACAAGTTATGCGTTCTTGTGAAGATGTTATATGAGATAACTGTTTTAAGCAATTGACAGTTGAAAGATTCGCAACGAAATGGCGGAGAACAACGCAAAAAAAATTAACCACCGTTCTATCACTGGCCACGAGTCAGCAAAAAATTTAGAAAGTCTTTGCAATGGTATTGTAATTATAAAACAATTAGATTGACGGAAAATTTTAAAAGGTAAGTTTGAAAAATATTTACTTAGATTTCTCTTAAAAAATCTTCACTTTGCCATTGATAAGATGTTATTTTGCACTACAAAACTAATTAATTATTGTTATTGCAATCATTTATTATTTATTGGCGTCTATTTTTTTGAGAATTTATTTCACGACTTATATGAAATAAGACCAGTTTAAAATAGTATATATTTCATTTTTTACCTAACAAAATATTATAAGTTATTTCATTTACTATTTTGTATTTCTATTATAATATTTCTCTAAAAAATATTAAATCCAGTGAATGATTAATACACGATTATTATGTTAAGAGTCATAGGAAACACCGGCAACGATAGCCAAAAGGCGTGTCATCAGTGCAAGTTTTGCATTGGGACTAATTTCAATGTTAATGTTTAAGGTCGACGGCCTTATTTTATCACTGTGTTTACTTGTTCCGCAAAACTTTCTTTTCTCCGTACAGAGAAAGTATTGTCTTGTCCTTTGAATTAATATTTTTCAATTGGGAAACACATATCACCAGTTTAAATCACAATACGATCACTATTAATTACTGGGGTTTTCTACACTATACGAAGTGTTAACAGCAAAACAATTTTTAAAGAAATCGAGTGCAATTTTTTATGAAATGAAAAACCCAGTGACTAGACAATATGATAGTAATTATCGCCGACGGGAGATAACGGATTCGTGTCCATAAAAATTATGTATAACACACACGTAACTACATACGTAACACACGTCTAATCGATCACCGAAACTTTCGCGCGTCCAGTGAAAGCATAATTGTTTATTTGAAAATAACGTGTAAACATCATCTAAAGATCTAATTCGGTTTTTTCTTATGACGAACAACAATCCAATCTAAACGTATTGTTGACGAGTATTTTTTAACCAGACCACTCAGTCATGTGAACGACGAATCAATGGAACCGCTCGACCGGCGAAATTTCACGGCAACAATCCAAAGACACTGATTTATTAAAAACGTTTGTGTAGTTTATCGAGCGGCGTCATGACAGTACACCGCGGGACGCATACACGTGTTTTATCTTTGTAGCGCTCACTTCGCCGTGGCCTCATGACCGCGTGTAATGAAGAGAGGGAACTAATGCGTTTAGTAGCAGTAGAAGTGGTAATTGATTCGGAGCCGCCGCGGTGGTGGCGGTAGTGATAGTGCCGGCAATGGATTGTGTCGTCTTGTGTCTGAGGACAACAGACGTTAGACGCCACTTTACCGTGGGCCGGACAAGTAACCGCGCGCTCGGTCCAGTGCCTTCCATCGCGTGCGATTGTAATTATTCGGTGTCCGTCTAATATTCTAAAACGTTGGCATTTTAACCGCTGGGTCTTGATTCAGGGCGCGTGCTATGTACTTACTGATATCGCCACTCGAGTTCTGCCGTGCCAACACTACTGAGAGGAACGTAACACGATTAATTAAACATACTTAAAACGTAATCTTTTTGTTTTTTAATTTTATAGTTTGACGTTATTAAACGATTTATTGAAATAAATTAATAATTGACATGGAGACGTCTAATAGCGACACGAAGGTTAACACGCCTTCGCTAGCTCTGATGGACGATGTGACGATGGCAAAAACGTTGGCCATGGTTGTACTAGGTTTGGGATCGTTTGTACTAGGCGTTATACCCGTCAAGCTAGCCAAGTGGTGGCACAAAGATGGCAACTCGGGCGAAGAATCGCATCAGGGACATTCGCACCATCCGGGATCATCAGCGTCTTCTTCGCCTATCGTGTCTCTTTTGTTATGTTTTGGCGGCGGAGTATTGTTATTCACCACGTTGCTCCACCTTCAACCCGAAGTCCGCGAGGGTGTTCACAACCTTCAGGAGGCGGGTATGTTGCCAGAAGATCTCAGCAGCCTGGGCGATTTGATATTCTGCGCCGGATTTTTCCTCGTTTATTTCCTCGACGAGATTGTGCATTCTATTTTGGACAAGTGTTCGGCAGACTCTGAAGACGAATCTGAAGTAGTGCTACACAGATCGATGAGCATGCGACGGTGTACCATGTCCATACCGCGGGCATCACTTACGGGTTCTCCGACGTCCGTGCCCTCCGTGACGGGCGCGTCCACGGCCAGCATCAACGAATTGCTCAATGATTCCAAAGACAAAAGGTACCACGCATCGTGGAATAATCGACAGATTCGTGATCCGGAAGAACAGTCCAAATCGACTAATGTAGGACAAAGAAAATCGGCCAATCGATCGTTTCGCGGGCTGTTCGCCGTACTGGCACTGTCGTTCCACGAAGTTTTCGAGGGATTGGCTATCGGATTGGAAGAACGCATCGAGAACGTCTGGTATCTGTTTATCGCCGTAGCCACGCACAAGTTAGTCATAGCCTTTTGCGTCGGGTTGGAACTGGCGTGGTCCAAAACTCGCGTGCCCGTACTCGTCATGTACGTGGCTACGTTCGCCGTAGTTACTCCTGTTGGAATTGTCGCCGGCATGTGGCTAGTCAGATATGGTGCCGGTGGTGCCATTGATGGATCTCCTGGTACTGTGGCCGTTATTCTTCAAGGGCTGGCCGCCGGTACTTTGTTGTACGTTGTCTTTTTTGAAGTGTTGGCCAGACACAAACAGGCCGGTTTCCTACATTTGATGGCCATTTTTGTCGGATTCTGTATGATGCTCACACTGCAAATGACGAGTAAGTGAAAAATTAATATACAAACTTAATGATCAACAAATCGAGAAACGGGTTGTCTGAACTGTAAAGATTTTTAATTATGTTAACGATCAATTGCTAAAATGATGTACATTAATGAGTGCTTAATAGTTTTTAATTAATAGCAGATAGACATTAAACACGACATAGTTTTGACCATTATAAAAGTAAAAGTAAAACGTGTATACGGTAAAAATATCATTTAACATTATGTCAATTGACAATGTCCCTAACAGTATGCTTGACATTTACTTAATTTATAATAGTTACTACTGAATATGACACGCGTACAAATTATCGACGGTATAATATCATGACTATCGTAATATATTTAATTAAATAATTTAAATTTATAATTTTATCATTAAAAGTAGTGTTGAGAAAAATCTGCTAAAAAAGGCGTCAGTTATTGGTAGAAGTTTACTCTTTTTATCACGTATATATACTCACTATTAATATACGTTAACACAATAATTTATAAATTTTGTGTAATATTGTTATAGTACTATGATTTATGTGCAGTTAATCTCTCATTTTAATTTCTAAAAAATGTTCATCTGAAGCTCTGTCTCAATAAATGCCATTGATTCGTATTTTGTTTTTTAGGGAAGAGTAGAAAAATATTAAGTGCAATAGTTTTTCAAAACATTTTACTTAAATATTTAAAAAACGAAAATCGACATTTGTATTTGTTGGCCTCTGATACAGAACTACGACTTTGTTAATTAATAAATAAGGTAGTGAATTTACGTCACACATAAAATAAAAGTATTTATGAAGTGTAAAAAAGATTTCCTGGTTTATTCATATTTGGAAACATTTTCATATTTCCAGTTATTCTATCCTGAAAATGTCTTTATTCTGTAATATTTTCGTAGTAATAGTTTCAGTGATTTTAAAAATTGTTTTTTTCGTTTTTATCTCTTTTTCCGTATTGTTTATTCAACGATAAACAACAACCATTTAAAAACAAATAGATCTTTGAACTATGTTAATATCTGCGCAAATGGAAACAAAGATGTTATTTGCGACACGGGATTTCCTTGCAACGTGATGATGATGTTAAATTATCATTAGCCATGTGAAAAAAACAACCGGTTTTTTTACGTATTTATGTTTTTGTTATCAATTTTATTTAGTTCTTCAAATAAGTATGTTATTATTCTTTTATACAACTGCACAAAATTAACCGAACAACATTTGAACGCAAAAATGCTCGTTCATTAGTTACTATTGACATAGTTAAAAAATATTTAACAACACAAAACAATTTTTCAAACTGATATCGATCATGCGATTCTCTATTAATTACTGCCCCGTAAAATTGTTTGAAACATTGTACTGTTTACGTTTTATAATGAAATTATTATTGAAATTGTGACTACACTCAAACACGTGTTTTTCTTTATTAACAGTATTAGGATTGCAATTACTATTTCTCTATTTTTTATTATTAAGTTTTTATATACATCATGTTATATTTTATGATGTTTCTTTTTAATAGTAATACATAATATAATTTCCTCTTAATAAATCCATTTGGTTAATTTGCCCATGCAAGATTTAAACGGTTTCTATAAAAAAAAAAAAAATCTGTCTATTAGCTGAGTAATAATATTACATTTATAAAACGTTTTCTGCGACAATTTGTCTGTTAAAATTTATTTTGTATGCGAGTAAGTAAACTACTTTACATGACATTCTCATTTATCACACTATAATATTCCGTTTGCAGTTTGGTGTGATGACCTCTTGAAAATTTTGCACTCTCTCCCCTTGGCGATTTAGGGTTTTTATGTTCTTTATTATAGACCGTCGAGTTCGTCCCGTCAATAAAATATTTTTATATTATTTTCAAACTCTTGAGATTATTAAAAAAATGTGTTATCATCAATCATTCCTGAACGAATTACATTTTGTCAATGAAACCAATCTCAGTAAACGCTCATACTATTTAGGTCATGTTTAGCAAAATTATCTCAAATTGTTCAAAACAAACTTTTAAATTTGTTGTAATGGGTTAGTATTTATAGTGTGACAAACAAACAATGAGTTATTAAAAAAAAAACATTACACTCTGCTGCGGTTGCAACTTACAAACCTGTTTTTATTTTCAATCAAAATACAATTTATTCGACTTATTGGTATGACAATCAATAAACCGCATTCTGATAACTAGTTGATTCATGAAATTGCTATCTATCGTATCTATATACATTAATAAGATTAAAACCGAAAGCCGTCAATATTAATTTCTATTTAATTTATTTGAGGTTTGAATCATATCCGTTCAAGTTAATTTTTTTTTAATTGAACTACCGTTAGTTAATTTTATAAGTTTTAAGTCGTTTTTTGATATAATTTTATTTATAATAAATTGAATAGAAAATATTATTTGGTAAACAAATGATATACTAATGTTTGACACGATATTGACACATTGATAACGAGTGACTCATTAACTTGTTAGTTATGTTTTTATCAATCCATATTACGTAATGTATTACTTGGAGAAAGGCGAAGAGAAAGATAGTAATATGGCTCAGCTGGGATGCATTGGAACCAAGAGATTTTAGGTTAAACTCAAAACCTTTTCCGCGTCTTATGACTATAACTATCTAAAAGCATAATGACTAGTTATCTATAAGCACACCTAGTAAATACAAATTTGTCTTTAACAATCGCGTGAAAGGTGAACAATAGTTTCATATGGTCAATCGTGTGAACGTGAGGTGTCCGTTTTTTGCTGGATGATTACCCGCGTTATTTTATTGAACGTTTAATTAAACATCATGTACTCGTGTTCGAGTATGAGGTTGGGTTTATCGCATACCTATTGTGTGTGTAATGAACGTATTGTCAAATAGTATTTATTTAAAGATAGCCAAAAGCGCACGAGTATTACGATTTTCAATTTAATTTGAAAACTCGATAAGAGTCGCTTTTCAATTTCACTTAGGACATAATGTAATGTGATATTATTCAGCGTTGGCTGTTGAGATACATAGTTACAATGTTAACAATATATATATTTCATGGGTTTCCTAGAGTTACAGTGCTAACATAATATTGTTTTGTTTGACGTTCTATTCATAACACCACTGGTGATGATGTCGTTCAAACACCTCTTTTCTATGTTGCTCGGGGCCCGCCGACGGTCGCCACGAGCTCAGGTACAACACTATTATGTTCTTTGGTTACGTATTACTCATCCAGACCGTTTTTTAATTCCGACGATTCACGGTCACCCGCAACCAGTCACGTATTCGCTTGTGACTACAGACCTGTCCTCCTCGTCCTACTACTGCGTACAATAGAAAATTATAAATCTGCGCATTCCTTCATGTCTTATTTTGACTAAAGGAACCCAAAACTCGACCAGGAAAAAAGTAACAAATTCAATTAAAACTCCACCTGACTTCTGACACGTATCACCCATTCATCTAGCCACGTTGTCGGGCAATTGTTGTCGAAGAAAATGTTTTAAATGGAATATTTTTTTTCCGGTTTTTTCTGGCAACAGACGCTCCTGTCTCACCGGGTTCGTTTTGGCCGTTTCCACTTGTTGTGTTTACTCAAACTATAAACGTTCACGGTGTTGAGAATAATCCGTATGACATCTTACTCGTACAAACGGTGACATTTCCTTGGGTTGTGAAACACGGACCCGCATTTGGCTTATTCGCAGATACTGTCTATTAGGTACGATCCTAATGCATAGACTCTCGGTGGCATTGAATTTAAAGGGTATTGGCGACGATTTTCTACGGATACACGTGATCGTTCACAGGAACTACGGCAACGACAATGGAGTCGGTGGTGAAAGCCATTAACGCCCGTATGCTCTGTTGTTGTTGTTCGATTATGTTTTAATTGTGCCGTTGCACAATGTCGTTGTGTACTAACACGGCACTATTCATATTAGTAAAAATCGGCGTGTATAAACTTGACCTTTCGTTGTTTTTGAGTAACGCCGTCGTTTTTCTCTCCAATTATGTTCACTCGGTTCATTTTGGTTTTCACGAATCCGAGTCGCACGATTTTTGATTATCCCTTTTGCAATTATTGTTTTTCGCCTGTGTTGTTGTACAACACACTGTGTAACCGTTAAATGCACAAATACCATGCCATTGTTATGAATCATGGGTTTTTTTTTGCGTGTAATTTGTAATGTTCTCGCCATAAAATGTACAAATGTTAATATCAATTCGTTCGCCGAACGAAAATTCATTTGGCGCCGACACATGTTTTCAGTCAAAACATTGTAATGAGAAGTCGTAACCGTTAGCAATACAATAAAAATCAGTATCGAATTGTATTGCGAATATTTTTTCCTATTGATAAAAAATCATTTTCCAACAGCCTGCGAAATCGACTTGTTTTTGCAGACCATATGAGTTTTTATCGTGTAGGTTGGAAGCAGATATAAGGTGTGCTTTAATCATAAAATGTACGTGACAATTTTATCGGTTCGCCGTTTGATAATAAAAATACAAACGATGGCTGAATGCAATAAAAATCTTGAGCGTTGCATAGTGCGAAAATTGCATGACGCACAATTTTTACGAGTGAGAGCATCGGGGAAATCGAAACGGTTTATCATTATTTATAGACTTTGTTTCAGAGATGACTTTGAATATACGCGGAAATATGATCAGAATTTATAAGTGACTCAAAGTAGGAAACGTCTTAACTTTAACACGACGTAGTAAAATTAAATTTAACCTCAAAAACCAACTACGAACCTAAACTTATGTTAATGAATTTTGCATAAATTTAAAAAACACTTTGCCTAAAATTATTACAACGAGAATCTTGGACGTCAAACATCAAAAACATGCTGCGTAGGTATCGTATAACAATAGTGTTGTTCTCGTACCAAAAAAAGGAACAAAAGGTTTTCGACACGTTGCCATGTTACTTAAAATATTTATATTCTGAACTTGCCTATTGTATACGCATTATCATTATTAATGAATAGT